GGCTACCCTCTGACTCACGATCCTGCTACCTCAGCTTCCTGAATGCATGCACTACCACATCTGGTTTAGAAACCAGCTTCTAACCTTTCACTTCCTTCTCTGGTCCTTCAGGTTTCCTTATCTTTCTAGGATGGACTCATTGTTCTCTTAGGCAGCTGACTAAGCAATTGCAGATTATTGAGGAAATGGTTCTTCTGGACCAATGATACTATTGGCTTGTTTTTTCCTAGAAATAACTCTAAACTTTAGTGTTTGGCTTTTAGGTGTACACAAGGCTTTCCAGCAAGTTCCCAGGTAACCAGTTGGAGCATTAGCTGGTATAGAAAGCTGGTTTCTTTTTCTTCCTCTTTCCTCCCACTATTTCCTTGGTTTTCTTAATAGTTGGCTTAGATGTTACATCTTCATTGACTTATAAATGAGGGTAACAATACCTGTAGTATAAAATATTTGTAAAGATTAATGAGGTAATCCATGCAAAAATTACCAGTTCAGAGCCTGGGCCTTGGTGAGTACTCAAATTACAGGTAATTTTTCTTTTTTTTTTTTTGGTACTGGGGATAGAACTTGGGACCCTGCACTTGCCAGGCAGGCGGTGGAACCATTGAGCTAAATCTCCAGCCCACAGGTCATTTTCTTATTACTTTCTCTTTCATATTCTATTCTCTTATTTATCATCATGACTCCCTCTTTTGTTAAATCTGACTTCACTTACCTGAGTGAATTAAGAGATTAGAAAGTCTGAGTTCAGAGTCAACTAATAAGTATTAATTGAAGGCAATTTGTGGTAGACACCATGCTAATTTTTAAAAATATTAAACAAAATTAAAGTCCAAACTGGGTGAGGTGGCACACACCTGCAAGCCCAGAACCTGGGAGACTGAGGCAGGAAGATCATGATTTGGGGGCCAAGCCTGTGCTATGTAGCAAGTTGAAGGCCAGCCTGGACTATATACATGCCAAGACTCTATTTCAAAAAAAAAATCCTCCAAATAAAAAAATTAAATCCTTATAACAAGGTTATAGGGTAGATGTGTTTCCTTTTTACAGAGGAGGAAATCAAGATTCAGGGAGGTGAAATGAGTTGTGCAAGATCTCAGAGGGATAAAATTGAGATAAAGCTCAGTAAGATACAGCATTATTTGATCACTTACTCTGCTCTGGGCATTGTGTTAAAATTTTCACATACATTACTGCATTTACATGCATTGTGGTATTAGCTTGAATATCATTCATATTACCTATGAATTAGGTGCCATTTATAGAAGATAAGAGTCTAATAGAGGTTAAATGTTTGCTTTCCCAAGGTTTTACAGCTAATAAGCAATACAAATGAAATTTGAATTCATTTATTCCATAATGTTAAAGACGTTTATATATTTTAAATCCATGCCTAATAAAGTATTGTTAATAAGAGGCTGGGAGAATCTTGTTTGACATGTGGAATGAGCTGTATACAATTCATAGATGGCCTCTAAAGAAATAAGCATTTCTAATGTACTTGGAAATGATTAAAAACAGCTTTTCTCCTAAGTAGTTTGCACATTCTCTACTGGTTTATACTGATCATGTGCTTAGTAAACTACTCTGTGAATAGCATAAGGTAACTTGTCCATCCTCAGTCTAAATGATCCCCGCTAGTGAATTGGTTGGATCCAAATTAACAAAGAATTAAGGCTCTTAGCAAAGGGCCCAGGAGTGTCTTCATTTGGCCTTGTCCCTTGGATACCTGTGCTGCTACTTTCAAAGAGTTCAGTCTTTATAGTATTGAGCCGGCTTGGGAACTACCACTCATCGTAACTACCACATATTAGTTCCCTTAGACACCATGTTGGCACGTTTTGTGATCTCCACTCAGAAACCCACTCAGGTGGGTGACATATCCCCACCTAGATCTAAGAAATGGAGGATCCATAGAGCTTAGTGGTTTGCCCAAGACAACATCTATGTGAGTGGCAGAGCTGAAGCAGTCTGACAGTGGCCAGGGTGCCACCTTGTCTGGCCTGGGAGCTCTCTTTTGGAGCAGGCAGTGCTGGTGATAGCTCCCTTTTGAATAGGTCTTATCATTTTACAAAGTGCCTCCACATCCTGCCACCCGCTTTGACCCTCACAGTAGAAGGAAGGGCAGGGGAGTTAGGGCTGTTACACCCTTGTGTGCACAAAGAAACTGAGAGCCACTGTGACTTATCCTGCTCTGAGGCAGAGCCAAGATGAGAACCCAGGAACTGCTATTTCCAGTAGATGCCTCACCTACATTAGTGAAGAATGAGAAGGTAGAGAAAAGGGTGACATTCAAATTGTGTAACAACCAACTGACAGAAGAAAGCCCAGGCCCAGCACGGGAATGGGGCTTGGAGGCACCAGGGGACATCTTTGGTTGTCAGAAGGTGGAGTGGGGTAAGTGTCAAGGGAAGCCTGGGACAATGACTGAAGGGAAATACACTGACTTTGAAATCCCCCCCACCGAGGGCTGGGGATTTAGTTCATTGGTGCCACTGCCTGCCTCGCAAGCACAAGGACCCAAGTTTGATACCCCATACCAAACAAACAACAAATAAAAAAAATCCCCCTGTACTAGGGACTGAACCAGGGCCTGATCACTGAGTACATCTCCAGCTTTTTTCAAGACTTTTTAAAAAAATTTGAGACAAGGTCTTATAAAATTGTCCACCTTGGGCTCAAACTGGAGTTCCTCTTGCCTTGGCCCCTCAGAGTTCTGGGGTAACAGGCATGTGCCACTGCTCCCAGCCCAAATATCGACGTACTGTAACTGCCACACTGACCTGCTATTCGGCCAGAGCAGAGGCCCAGTGGCCCTCAGCCAGCACCTTCTCTTCTCTACAGAATTTAAAGAGGCCTTTTCATTGTTTGACCGGACCCCAACTGGAGAGATGAAGATAACCTACGCACAGTGTGGGGATGTGCTGCGGGCCCTGGGCCAGAATCCCACCAATGCCGAGGTGCTGCGTGTCCTGGGCAAGCCCAAGCCTGAAGGTCAGCCTGGGTCCCCGGCTAACCCTCCTCTGCAGCCTGAGGCTCTTTGTCTGGATTTGTTTCCAGCCAACCAGAAGCTGCTGGACTCACATTGGTCCTCTCCTTCTTCCTTGGCTTTGGCTTCTTTCCCTTCTCTTCTAGCTGGAGACACCAGTAGTTTGTGGGTGAACGATGAGGGCAGGAAAGGGCCTGTAGGCTGGGAGCTTGTGCAAGTCAGCAGGGCTTCTTGTAAGTCAAGAGACAACCTGGGCATACGTGCCAAAATCTGTGGTATTTAGGGTGGTTTTTATCTGTTTAATTAATGCTTTCCACACACTACAATGTGGGAAAAACTATACTATTCTCAAGAAGATGATGAATTTATGAAAACTGTTGATTCCAAGCATTTCAGGAAGTGTGGTCTAGTAATAGTACCGTACCCAAATGCAGAGTCATGCAAACATTTATTTTATTTATTATTTATTTATTTATTTTGCATTGCTGGGGATCAAACCCAGTGCCTCACACATGCTAGGCAAACACTCTACCATTGAGTTGTGTCTTTAGACCAACATTTAAATTTGTCCTTCCTACCACTTTACCTCTAAGACTGTACATCTGTCACACGTCAAAAGTCTACATTGTGAAAGTGAGGCCTATGGGGCTATTTGGGCCCCATAAACCCTGCTGCTGCCACCCTTGGCTCCTCTGCCTACCTGGTCACCTGGAGCACAGAGGTCTGGGTGGAGCCACAGTCCCCCTTTTCTTCTGCTCTACTCTTTTCACGGGGAGGAAGAGCCGAAGAGCTCCTAGGTTCCAAGTTGCTTACTTTGTTCCAAAGGGCAGCTCTGTGCCCTGCAGGGTCACTGACTGGGTGTCCCATCTCGAAGCAGCTATAGCTTATGCTCTGGATCCTGCTAGGGCTGGGGTGCAGCCGCTCCTTGGCCGTGTGCTTCCCCGACCATCCACTCATGCTGCTTTCTTTGTCCTTCCATGCCTACTGGAAGAGATGAATGCCAAGATGCTGGACTTTGAGACATTCCTGCCCATCCTGCAGCACATTTCCCGCAACAAGGAGCAGGGCACTTATGAGGACTTTGTAGAGGGCCTGCGTGTCTTCGACAAGGAGAGCAATGGCACAGTCATGGGTGCTGAACTTCGGCATGTCCTTGCCACCCTGGGTATGCCACCTGGGCAGAGGTGAAGTCCACGTGGGAGGGAAGGAGGGCTGTGGGGTGTCAGGGTGATGTAGGTTGGCGGAATAGGTAGCCAGGCATCCCTACAATCATCAGATCAGGTCCTCATTCAGGTCTTGTCCTCCTGAACTCTGTAGGACCAACCTCCCCCAGTTGGGTTTGCTCAACAGTGCTGAGGTTTGGGAGACGAGAGTGGCCGGCAGAGCAGGGCTTATTCTTGAGACCTGAAAGGGGGACTTCAGGCTTCTGTCCTTGTCTTTGCCTCGGTTATGGGGCCCTGAGTAGAGCTTGAGCACCTTCAGGAAGTAGGCAGGGCCTTAGGACCCCTGGGCCTGCCCTCCATAGCCTTTGGGAAAGCCTCGATGTGAACCACTTCCAGACCTGCTTCAGACTTAGCAGGTGCTTGGTTTTTCTTGGCCCTTCCTTGTCATTTGTGATTAAGAGCCCAACATCTCCACCCCACCCCAGGAGAGAAGATGACCGAGGCTGAAGTGGAGCAACTGCTGTCTGGGCAGGAGGATGCCAATGGCTGCATCAATTACGAAGGTATCCAGGTGTATAGGCAGGGCTTGGGCTGGTGGGTCTGGGAGCTAAAGGGTGTGTGCATCCTTTTCCATTCTGGGAGTGAACATCCCAGTGTGGCTGGAGGAGGATCACTTTTGGAGCTAGCTCTAGAATATGCTAGCTGTGTGACCTTGATCACGTCACTCATCTTCTCCGAGCTTCAGTTTTCTCATCTGAGCAACGAGGGCGATGCTAGCACTATTCTCAAGGGTGTGGGCATTTGTACACATAATGTAGCCCCTTCATCTATTTAAGTTTCAGCACAAAAAGTGGACACCGCAGAATTTAAGTGTTTTCCCTCTTCCGCTTTCTTCCCACCAACCTTCAAATAAGAGGATAGTGGTAGTGACAGAGACAGGGTAGTGGGAATGTTTGAGGTGTAGGGAAGAGGGAGGCTGTTTGAGAGGTGGAAAGGAAAGTATAGACCCGAGAGGGGCTATACTCTGCAGTGGCTGGCTGATTTTTACTTTTTTCCCTAGCCTTTGTCAAGCACATTATGTCTGGGTGAAGACGCTTCCTATAGGGTAAGTGCAGCCTCTCCCTCCTGGTCCCTAAAGAGGCCTAGGGACACCACCTCTCCTAGAAGTCTCCCACTCTAGGCCTGGCCCCTGGAGAGAGAACTGCACGGAGTAGAGACCTGAGAGTGGCCTGGCCCACCCATTTCCGTGGCTGCCTGCCCTCATCCCCTTCCTTCTCTGCTCCCTACCTCCCTTGTCTTTCCTTTCCACCTTGATCCTTATGGACACATCCTCCTGCCTCTCTTAGAGTCTGTCAGGCCTGGGACCCCTGTACGGCTCTTGGGCATGAAAAAGCCACATCTCCAGTGGAAGAGAGAAAGTGTCAAGAGTCTACGCTTCTACACTGTTCTTTACTTCATTCCTTGGGCTCCCCTGGGTGAGGTGGGGCTGGGGTTGGATGTAGAAGGGTGACATGCCCTTTCCATGTAGTGCTTTCTTTCAGGTGCCTGGCCCTTGGCCCTAGCCACCCCAGGATGAGCTATCTAGAGGCCCACAGTGACTGAGATGGAGCCCTGGACCAGCCCGAGGACCTTGTAACACATAACCCTTCCTGTAAATAAATAGCTCTGGCAAGGCTGGGCCAAGTTCTGTGATTCTGTCCTGTCTCTAGGCTATTTTTAGAAACCTGATTAAATAATTGAGTTGATTGCTCCCTCCCTCTCTCTCTCTCTCTCTCTCTCTCTCTCTCTCTCTCTCTCTCACACACACACACACACACACACACACACACAGAGAGAGAGAGAGAGAGAGAGAGAGAGAGAGAGAGAGAGATTTTCACTCAGAGCTGGGAGATGAAAGCCCAAAGCCTGTGGAACTAGAAATACTGGGGTCAGACACATGAGAGCCCTGGAAGGGTTTGTAAGTAGAGGAACCAGAAGTTTCACTTATCATCTTTGAGGCTCGCTTTCTACCTCACTTCACCCCCAGGTTGGGGCCAGGAAGCGGGACACTAGGAGCCAGTCAGGAATTTCCCAAAGGGCCCTTCCTGTCTCTTATTTATGGTCCTGGGAACTAACTTCAGGGCCTCATTCATGGTAGGCATACACTCTGCTACTGAGCTAGATCCCCAGCTCTTTTAAATTTTATTCTTTTTTGAGACATGGTGTTGCTATGTTATTCAGGCTGGCCTTGAATTCACTATGTATCCCCACTGGCTTCGAACTTGTCGGTGATCCATCTGTCTCATTCTCCTGAGTGCTGGGATTATAGTTGCACATCACCACATCTGGCTTAGTTTGATTTTATCTTGAGACAGGGTCTTTCTAAGTTGCCCAGCCTGGCCTTGAACTTGTGATCCTCCTTACTCAGTCTCCCAAGTAGATGAGATTTGAGTGTGTGCCACCACACTTTGGTACTCTTCTTTGTAAAAAGAAATTGTGAGACTGTGGGTGTATTTTAAGAGTAGAATGCTTGTTTAGCATACATGAGATCCTGGGTTTGATCTCTAGTGCACACACACACACAGATGCACACAACCACACAGTGATAAAATTCACATAAGCTTTAGCATCTTAACCATTTTTTAGCATACAGTTCAGTAGTGTTAAGAATATTCACAGGTCAGCCTGGTCTACATAGTGAGTTCAAGGTCAGCCTGAGCTGCATAGTGAAATCCTGTCAAAAAAAAAAAAAAAAAGAATATTCATATAACCTGTATGTTTAATCCTAGCACTTTGAGAGGCTGAGGCAGGAAGATTGCAAATTTGAACCTATCCAGGGCAATTTAGCAAGATCCTGTTCAAAATAAAAAATAAGGGCTGGATATGTAGCTCAGAGGTACAGTGCCCCTGGGTTTGATAACCAGCACCGGAAACAGCAACAGTAACAACAAAACAGGTAGGAAAGAAGGAGAAAAACAATGTGATGAAGTTAAAGATGCATATGTATGAATAGAAATACTTAGATTGGAGCTCAGAGGCCCAGCCACCCCAGTGTGGAGTCCCGATCCCAGACAACTTGCTAGGGTGTGGCAGATACTTGTCATGGCCTTTCTGCTGCTCTGACAGTTGAGGATCTGGCTATGGAACCTCATAGGATATCTAGGAATTCCAGCCACAGCTACCTGCTTGGCATGGGAAGCTGAGAACCCTAAGTCCATATTTACTCTCTTAGAATTTACAGTCTGGCTGGGGAGACGAGGCCTAGGCTCACGTACATTCCCTTCCTTCGTGGAGAAGGGGTTCCAGATTGAGGAGTAGGTTGAGTCGTAAAAACCAGAGACCCTACTATAGTTGGAAGGAAGTCATGAAATCCAATGTTCATGTCTGCTTCTCTCTCTCTGTCTCTGTCTGACTCTGTCTCTGTCTTCTTTTTTTATTTTACATTTTGAGATAGGATTTCACTAAGTTGTCCTGGTTGGCTTTGAATTTCAGATCCTCCTGCCTCAGCCTCCTCAATAGCTAGAATTACAGGCACTCACCGAGTGCAGCTTGAGTGTCAAGTTTTGTTTTAGTTTAATAGCCTTTTATGCAAATTAAATGTCATGGTAAGCCCATGCAGGAAGCTGCAGGGAACAAAATGTCTATGGCTGAGGGGAGAGGGACTGTATTCCAGCTTCTTGGGTCTTCTGAGTGGGCTTGGATGGATCATGGCTAGAAGATCAATGAGTTAGTCAAACTTCTAAATATAAAAATAAAAACAAAGAAGCAGATCCTTATAGGCAAAACAATTTATGCAGCTAGTGCAAGTTAAGAGCAGATCCCTTTGAATCCCATTAAAAAAATATATATATATATAAATTTATCGTTGACATTTTTTTCAGGCTTGGCTTTTGGGACTCTTCTTATTTGTCCCCTGCCTCTGACTGCTCTTTTTCAATCTCATTACCCACTTTCTTTATAAGTGTTTGAGTTTTGGTGCTGAAGATTGAATGCAGATCTTTGCACCCTCAGCCCTCGGTGACTTTTCTTTAATCCTCACCCCTCAACTTGAAATGCCAACGCTCTGAGTCAGGGTTTTGACCTTGACAGGTTTTCCTCTCTCATGTCCATTTGTCACATTTATTTTCCACACTGTACACATTTATGAAAGGATTGGAGATGTTTCCCAATGAAACAGAAAAAGAAAGTGCATTTTCCTGCAGCCCTGAAAGAGAAGGACACAAGCATTCAGGAACTAACCTGAGAATGATCTCCGACTGGGTCCAGCTGGGTAATGCCAGGTTAGGTGCTGAGCAGTTGTAAGAACAGGAACCAGTAGGGAGTGAGATGTGACAAGGCAATTTTTCCTTGGGAGAGTGTATTAGTCGGTGCTTACTAGAGAAACATTTAATAAAGATATACAAATATATAAGAGTTTACAAGATTGCCCTACAGTGACTGTCCAGAGAGTTGGGTGTGTGAAAGATCTGTCTGTGCACTGGGGATCTGAAGGATCCATGTGAAGGCCTGGGGCTTGCTGTAGTGTCCTGTGAGTCTGTATCAGGGGACCAAAGGGCTTAAGGTCAGTGCTGCAGGCTGAAGAGTCTGCACTGAAGTCAGGAGGAGACCTCCGAGGTGAAGGTGAAGACCGGAGCACCTCCGAAGAAACAATACCATTCTGGCAATAATCCTCCCTGGGGTGGATCTTCCATTCCCAGAACCATGCTGAGCCAATGTAGTTGGGCATTTCTTATTCAAATTGACACAGTCAACCAATCACAGAGAGCTTTAAGTGAGATGTTTAAGGAAAACATGGCCCAAGGCGGTGCTCATGTCCAGGGGGTAGAAGGGCCGGAACAGAGGTTATGCCTTGCTCCTCATTTGACAGATGCTTACCGAATACCTGCTGTGTGTGTAGCACTGGTTCAGGCCTCAACTACATACTGAGTCACGCACGTGTGCTTACAATGTGGTGGGAAGACAAACATTAAATAGCTGTGGTCACGTGATGATAACAAAACCCAGAAATGATTGAACACTGTATCCATCATGATGATTTTTGCCTACGTGTTGTGAATACCAAAAAGTGGTATCTTAAAAGAAACAGAAGTGCATTTCTCCCTCCCGTTTAAAGACCAGAGGGTGATGGTCAAGGGCCATGACAGTCACTTTCACAGAGTCACTCTCCACAAGGGTGTTAGTCATTACAGCTTCTCCACATGGCTTAGGATGGCGGCTCTGATGGAAGAACTCAGGCACATTTCTGACTGATGGGCCTTTCTGGAACCAGCTCTATCTACTTGTCACTTCTGTGGTGCTGGGCTTGTCATCCTAGTCATCCATCTGCTTCAGTAACAGCACTTCCCCTACCTGGCAGGTGGGGCAATAGTTTCCAGACTTTCCTTGACTAGATTGACTTCCACTTACTTCACACCAGGTTGCAAACCATGGGATTTACAGGAATAGGACTGAGCTTTCTGAGGAAGGGAAGTAGTATTCTAGCTTTGGGAAGATTTAAGGAGGGCTCTGGCTTGGAGCCAGCCAAGGCCCCACCCTGACAGACTGATGGAAAATGACGAGACACAAGCTGATGCTTGTGTTGAAAGAATGGCTGCACGTGCCCACAGGTCTGGGCTCTGCTCAGACACTGGAACTGTGAATGGGTTCCTGTTCAAGTTCCTTACCACTCCAGCCTCTGTGGACCTGTACTTGGAGACAAGCAGCCTGCTGCAGGCCAGGGAAGACGGGGAGCTTCCTGGAAAGTTCCCGCTGACAGCAAACAGAGGAGACCCAGAGAAAATCCTTGCTGATCCCTTGCCCACTCTGCTCCTTTCCCACCTCCCAGTTAAGTTCACCCGGCACGTCCTGGTTCCAGAACTCCAGATGGAGCTCAGATCCTTTGGAGAGAAAGCAGTTCCTAGAGCTAAGGTGACCATGTAATGGGGGTCCATAATGTCAGGAAAACTTCAGCTAGATGACAGTAAAGAGTTTCATCAACTCATGGATCACCTACTATATCCCCGTCACTGTACTAGGTAGGTTACCTACCATCCTCTTCTAGCAACCTAGGAGGTGGAAGGGATTGTCCTCATTTAAGAATTTTTAAATACCACACTGTGGGAGAAGTTCACACCTGGCTGGGCCAGGTGCTCCGCACTCCTGTTTTCTGAGCAAACTCAAAGACCTCTCTGAGGCTGAGCTAACTCGCCTAAGTGCATAGAGGCTGGGTCTAACAGGCTGTACCTCCGCCCCTAGTCTGTGACTCCTTTGCCTCACCCAAGAAAAATCACCCCACCATATGTCTAGCCAATAAGAAATCACCCATTGTTCTCCACTACTGCATAACCTATAAGAAAGTGCTATGTAATTAATGCTCCTCCCAGGCTCCTCCCCCATGGTTGTCCACATGTAAGCTGTTTAAGCCTGTGCATTTCCTAAATAAAGCAGAAGCGTTCCAGAAACCTCTCCGGAGTCTGCCCGGCGATTCCGTGCCTTACCCTCCCAGTCTGAGCTCCTGAACCGAACTCCACAGACCAAACAGCAGACAACAACACCACACAAGAATAATAACAAGTTCAATTCTTAATTTATCTAGTCAACCCCCCACTTGAAGGACATATTAGTATTCCTAAAATCCCATTTTTAACGAAGTGTTCCTTTATTAGGACTTACACAAGCTCCTTATGGCCTACTGGCGTCATTTCCAAACCTCT